TGCTTAACAGGCCGTGCCCCCTTTCTCACGGACAAATTGTCCACCGCCACTTTTGGATCTAACCCAGGCATTTCCTTGTATGACCAGGAGAACACATCTTTATATTCACACTGCAGCTCTATATAAGTCTCCTCCTTATCGCTAGTCAAAAGTGCGCTGATATAAATTGGCCGAGAATCATCCATGTCTTCTAAGTTGATCTCTTTCAACTCATCAATCGTAGACTTAACCCCTTCCTCATGCTCAGCAGGGGCATCCTCAGCGTCTTCTTCATTTTCTTAGGCATCTTCACATATAGTGATATGATTTATATATGCAACATTTTCAGCCGGGTTATCAAGACCTTTAAAATCAATACATGTTCTAACCCGTCCATCTCTTCGAACGACACGAGCCAAACGCAAATTGTCTTCATTAATACACCCTTTACTCACCAATGCAGCGATTCTTCGATGCAAGGTGCCTTCAATGTTTCGAGGATTTTCTCTCGGGACAACACTACTCAATTGGTTAGATGAACGACGCTTTCTCCATCACTTTCTTCTTCATCTCTTACTCTCGTGTGCACGATCGTTCGCATCTTCTCCTTCAAGACATTACCACATGAAACAATCAATGTGGTTGTCTCTTCATTCGTGACGGTATAAAGCTTCAAATCTTGGGGAACTTTCTTTCTATCTTCCCGTTTCTAACCATCCTTTGAATACCAAGTCTTTGATGACTAGTTCTTTTTTACTCTAACTCTTGGATGGGTCCGAGCCTTTCAAATACCGATCTTCTTTTTCCATGCTTCAAATGATCAGTGGATGAAAATCCTTCTTCGGACACTTGATTCAAATTGTCCCATTTTATAGCTATCCGAACTGGATTTGGTGCTACAAATCCGAGACCACTCTAGTTTTTGAAACTCCAGCATCCTTCGTTTGAGTTTTTTCTGCTTGCGGAAGAAGTATTCCCAAAGTGCTCACTTCTTTTGGATTATATCCAGATTTGGCAAGAAGTTTGTAAGTTTTTGGGTCGTAATACTTAGAGTTTTAAAGATCCCCTCCGTGTTCCATCTTAACTCCTTCAACTGGGCGAACAAACTTTCCCAGGGGTTGCGTGGTTGGTTTCTTGGCATCGAGATTAGGTAACAGCAACACCAGTCCATCAAAAGGGTTATTGCCAACGAGGTTATTGGCTTTCTTCTCTTTGGCATCACTTTGCTGTTTGATGGGAGTTTCTTTATTGCGAGCAGACTTGGTATCTTCAAAATAGTACTTGGCGTCGGCGAAATAAGACTCGACTTCAGTAAAAGGCTTATCTTCTCCAAGAACTTTTCTTACTACACCATCTTGGCAGTATTTACAACATTGATGCCAGGTAGATGGCACAACTCCATACTCATGCAACCATGGACGTCCCAACAACATGTTATAAGAGGTTTTGGCATCTATCACATGGAAAAGAGCATTTGAAGTCATCTCCCCAATTACTAACTTCAATCTAATTATGCCTAGAGCTCGTTGCCCCCCTTGGTTAAAGCCTTGAATCATCAATCGGCTATTTGAGAGCTCATCCATCGGGACCTCCAGTTCTTTTAGCGTGCGCAGAGATAAAATGTTCACAGCAGAACCTCCATCTATCAATATGCAATTCACCTTTTTCTCACGAGTGTAACCAGTTACGAATAAAGGCCTATTATGGGGTTTTGAGCCCAACATCAAGTCTTCATCCATGAAGGTGACTGCCGCATCGTTGTCTTCATGATCACATTGTTCTTTGTCATCAGTTGACTCATCATCACTTGGGATATCATCTTGCTCGCTCGTCACATTACAAACAAAACTTTCATATCCTTCCTCGCATTTCACTATTGAAGCAAAGTTCGCAGTGCCTTTGTCTTCTTCAAGCGATATATTGTCTTATCGTGCCAGTTGCATATCTCTATCTTTGAAGACAAAGCAATCTTCGATGGAGTGACTTACCAGACAATGATACTTGCAGTATTTTGGGTTGTCAACTTGTCCCGCCTCTTCCGGTCGTTTCATCTCCGGCAGTTCGATAAGTTGTTCCCGAATCAAGTCGTCGAAAATTCTAGAAACATCGGAGTCAAGAAAAAGATATTGTTTGGCTAGCATCTCCTTCAAGGTTAACTTTCTTTGGCCCCTGTCTTGAGGTACTTCTTTCTTTTCCACAACTTTTTCACTTGTGTTTCCCTTGAGTTTGATGGGTCTTGCATTGACCGCCATTGCTTCCTTCACCTCTTTGTTAGGCGCTTTAGAAGAGAACTTACCCCCTTTCTTGGCTTCATTTCGGTTCTTGAATCTTTGAGGCTCATGGACAGGTGGATTCTTTACTCCGCTTGCAGACATGCTTAACTCCATATCATGTGCGCGAGTGGCCAACTCTTCAAAAAACTTTGGTTGAATTCCTTGCAGAATGTATCGGAGACCCCAATACATCCCTTGAGTACACATTTCAATAGCAGAAGCTTCAGACAGTCGATCCTTGCAATTGAGGCTTAGATTTCTCCTTCGGTTGATGTAGTCAATAACAGGCTGTTCATCCCACTGCTTTGTAGAAGTGAGCTCAATCATGCTGATTGTCCTTCGTGTAGCGCCCCACTTTAATTTTAAAGAAATTTCGGACTTTCCAAAAATCAGTAAAACATTTTTCGAATTCATGTTCGAAAACATGGGCATTATTCATAACATTCAATAAGTCCAAGTCTTATCTGAACCCACGGGGATTCATAAACCCGATTTTTCAAAAGGTTTTCATTAACCAATTCTCAAAATAACTCGCAGGATATTCAACATGAATAAATAAAACATATTATTCAAATAAAACGCCTACCATGAATATCCCAAAAACAACAATCCAAAAACATGTAATGAAAAACAAGTCATCATGTTTCATAATTCATAAATTCATAAAATTACAGACGAAGAAATAAATAACTAAGGACCACCCACTCGCCTTTTCTCGTCATCCACCAACTGCTTAACCTGCATCCGTGAAGAGCAGGTGGGAGTGAGTACAATTGTAAAAAATAGTACTCACCACTAAGGATATGAACAATATAAAATATGTTAGGACGATATGGTCGCAGCATGAACATAAACAATAATAACAATATATCTCATCTCTTAGTTAATACGACAATGACTCACTCATGTGCACATCTACGCTTAGCCATGCCACGTAAAGACACGAGAGTGCGTTCCACGTAAGGACACGGCCTTTCATTAGGACTTAAGAAGATTTGCCTCGAAAGGCAATCGTACCGTAACTCGACGGAGACAACCGTACCGAAGGCCGTATCAGCTCACATCGATAGGCTACATGCTCACATGCATAAATAGATCATACCGGTTCAACACATTTAAAACACATGCATAGACATTTTAGAATAACTAACCCACCGGGAGTCCGAAGTAGCAAAAGTACACAAGAGTCGGTAGGATGAGAGCACTGCTCGTGAAACACCTACATTCAAATACCCGATACTTGGATAAACAACTAACTCTTAACTCGGTAAACTAGTTTACCAATTTGAAGGATTTTCTAGTTTAAAATTCACGACGTATAAAATCTTTTCTTCTATTTCTTAGATTTTGAAACTCTAGATTCAGACTTATAAAAATAAATATCTCGCAAATACTCTTTAAAGTCTAAAATTTAGCATCGACTTAATTCCACAAAATTCCCATTTAATAAAAATTTCTAAAGATTTTTGAACTCCTATTTTAAACTCAAGGCATATAAAAGCTCTATTTCTCCAAGTATTTAAACCATGCAAAATCAGAGTTTAAATCCCATAAAATCGCAGCACTAAGACCTCAACTCTTGAAAATGTAAACGCTCAATCAAAGGCGATTTTTTTTAACTTAATATTGCAAAATAAATCGAAGGCTTTTGAACTTAATTTTAAACCAAAACCTAATGCATATGAAACTCAATGCTACCAGGTCTAAAAACACTATAACGGAGGTTATAATATTTAAAAGGAAATGCAGCTTGATCATACTTCCATTTTAGAAAATAAAAGGATTCAATCCATGGTTAAAAGAAGCTAAATTGTTTTTGAAATTAATCGTAAGGCAATTAAAACCCAACTTACCTGGTATTTAACACCTCATCTCAAAGGTTTGATCTCACTAAAACACAACATTAGGACATTCGATTCTTCCAACATGAAAATGGGGCTAAAATATATTTACGTAAATAAATTAAAAAGAAGAATCCCATTTTACTAAAAACAAAATTGTAAAGGCAATTGATATCCAATTCTTATACAGATTTCAAGGCCATCAAAACACATATTATACTAGGTGTTTAAGCATAATTTTCAGAGGTGCAAATGCTAGGAAAAACGCAGCAAAGTAACAGCCTTCTCAAACATCAAATTGACGAAAATAAAAAGGATTCGGCAAAAGCGATCTAATTCCCCATTTTTAAAACTCATCTCAAGTCATTTTTAAACACCAACATACCAAGTTAATTAAGCTCCAAAACAGAGGTTTAAAAAAAATAAAGAAATAAAAAAAATAAAAAAAAAACTCAGAAAAACGCAGCAACTCAACCAGATTTTTCGAAACCCGGCAAGGCTCTGAACAAGGCAACATATATCCCGACTTATCAAATAACTCCAACTCAATTATCCCGACCCTTAAATACTTGAAAAAAACACTCATTTACAGAGGCTAATACACGTATCGAGATTCCAACATCTACTCATAACATCAAAAATCATGCTTAACTCATCAATTTCAACAATTCTCAACTCAACGAACCTTAAGCCCTATTAAATCCTTCAAAACACACTCTAAATATTTAATAGAGTATTAAACCATATAACTCCTTCGGGAATTAACGAGAAACGATGAAGCAGATCATAGAAAACGGGCTCGACTACTCTCTGGCTATCTCCCTGCTCGCACTCGGCTATCAACTCTCACGCACGGCCGCTGCTAGGGTCACAACTCTCAACCACGGATACTTGCTGCTACTTTCGGTCACTTGCAGCTGGGGTTCGGCACTCGACTATCGCTCGCGAACATTGAACTATCACGGCAAAGCTCGATAAAGCTCAACTTTATGAACTGGGGCTGCTGCTTCAACACGAGAAGGCCGCTGCTGCTTCCCGGCTGAAAAGAGACCGACCGCTTTGCTGCTCGCTGAACGAAGTCACTGAGTGAGAAAAACCGATGGAGCTTGCTGTGAGGTGAACGGGCGTCCACTCTCAAGTTCGCCAGCGAGGACTGACGGGGAATCGAACGAACAGCCGGAACCCGCTGCTCTTCACGGCGGCCCGCTGTTGGCGGAGATGGAGTCGCGCGACTGAGGTTGGTTCATCGGTGCCGACTGGAATCTGCTCAATTATTGTCGGAAAAACTTGACGGGAAGGACCACCGCTGCTCACTGGCTGACGTGGGGTTCCCTTCTCCGACCAGACGATCGATGGTCATGGCCGCTACAAGATGAAGAGGAATCGCTACTCGTGCAGCTGAGGAAAATCGCCGGAAAGGTTAGAAAAATTCCAGCTTCGGGTGGCGAGTGCTCCTCTCCGATGGACGGTTCGGCTTGGATTTGTGGGGTTTGAGACCCGTCGGTGAAAGGCTGCATACGGCGGATTAGAAATTTGACGACAATCAAAAATTCTCCTCGGCTCGCGATTTGATGAGTGGATTGACGGGGGTTCAGATTGAACGAACGTGAAGGCTGGGGTTTAGGCGATTGATTTCTCTCTCAAAAGTTCTCGGCGTACTAATCGACGAAGGAGAAGATATGGAGAAAAGATATCTTGCGGCGTGATGGTGTTCTGCTAGTCGACCGAAGGAGAAGAAAACTCCTAGGAGAAAATCCGATCGATATGGGCGTGATTAAGGGTTTAATGAGCTATGGGCTGAGATTATTTACTTGCATATGGGTCGGACTCAATGTTTGCTATTGGGTCGAAAATAATTAAGTTAATAGGCCAAAATAAATGAAAGGCCGACAATTCTCGATCAAAGGGGCCAGGTTCATGCGGGACTTGGGTGCGGTTAAGGCGCGGGTTCGAGGCGCATGGGTCGCTGGCTCGACTCCTGGTCTATGATGCTCGAGAATTAAAATGCGACGATTCGGGAAAATTAAAACAATTTAACTGGCTATAAA